CCACCTGGTCCCCCCTTCCCACCAGGCCCCCTCCCACCTGGCCCCCTCCTCACCTGGCCCACTACTTGTGAAGGCTTCAGTGCAACCTCTCTGTTCATGTCTGGAGTGTTTGTCATGAGGTCAATCAGAGGTTTATTTCCAGACCCCAGAGGTGCCGAGGGTGTCGGCAGTTGCCGGTCTCCCCTGGCTTCTGGGGCGCCGCACAGGTCGAGGAGTGGGAGGCCAGCAAGGGGCGTGCTCTCGGCCTTTGGGGCGATGGTGAGCTGGTCTAGTTGGACGTCTACGAGAACAGCCTAGGGGACAACACAGGACAGGGACATCAGTCTCGAGGGACTTTCTTCTCGTCATCACAGTGGGCAACGTGGCCTGCCTCATACCCCCAGGGAGGCCCAAGGCAGGACAGCTAGGACGGGGCCTAAGTGAGCGGAGGTACTGGCCTTTGGGGGTGTGTCCTGACCCACGGTCTCCTCTGCTCTGCAGCCACCTCCAGGGACACACCCCTCCAGCCTACGGCCAACAGCAGAGTGCCCGCCAGCCCCTCATTGCTGCCTTGCTTCCCACATCCCTTCCACCCTAGATCTCTCCTCCGTCAAGCACAGGAAAAAGCGTGTTATTTTCTCCTCAGGAGATCGGAGGCCTGGCGTCCTCCCTGACAGCTGGACGTGGAGGCATCACAGGCCCCGCACCGTCAAGGCCACTCCGTGGGCCTACAAGCTCCAGTCTCCACACCTGCCTCCATGCACCCAGGGTGGATCTCGACTCTTCCTGTACCTCATCCGGGGATGTGTTTCCAGCTGTGTCTGCCTGGGTCACAGTGGCTTCTGTAGTGGTATTTTGTGTGACAGGAAAATCGCTCTTTTCTGGAGAAAAACGAAGTGCCTGTGGCACAGCAGACGGGGGAGAAACACTGTCATCAGACGCTGAGTCCCACGGCCTGGAGGCACCCTGCCTGCTGCCCTCGGCTGCAGGAGCGTTTCTGTGGAGGAGAGGGGAAGGTGTGTGAGGGGCGCTCTGTAGTGAGACCCTGTCCGGCCATCACTAGGGAAGCCACTCAGGTCTAGAGAAGCGTCGTGCAGCAGAAGGAGCCCGGCCCGGGTCCGGCTGGACCAGCGATGGCCTTCGGACCTCAGGGGCTCGCCCTAACCCTGCATGTCCTCTTCCACGTGACAGGGCCTGGACGGCTTTGCAGGAAACTTTGAGCCTCTTTACAATCAGTAAAGAGGAGGAAAGGAGATTCTGTTGCCCCATGAGAAGGAGCGGGGACCTTCTCACACAAGAGCCCCGCTTCTCAAGGCCACGTAAACAGGCACTGACTCCCGTCATCACCACAGAGCCCACGGCAGCATCTGCGTCACTGTGACAGGCCCCACATGAGCAAGAGTGTCACCGCCACAGAACCTGCACGAGCATCTGCGTGTGAGAACCTTAAGTTTTACTTGGACAGACACCCACGCTGTTGTTGCTGTTGTTGTTAGGTACTGTCCAGTCGGCTCTAACTCGTAGTGACCCTTGTACAATACACTGCCCAGCTGTGACCAGCCCCGCCATCCCTGCTACCCCTGAGCCCACCGTGGCAGCCACTGTGTCAGGCCATCTTGTTGAGGGCCTTCCCCTCTCTCACTGACCCTCCAGTTTACCCAGCATGACATCCCTCTCCAGGGCATGGTCCCTTCTGACAACGTGAGCAGAGTAAGGAGATGAAGTCTGGCCGTTCTCACTTCCAAGGACCATCTAGTTGCATTTCCTCCGGGAGAGATCTCTTCATTCTTCTGGCAGTCCATAGTATTTTCAGTATTCTTTGCCAGCACAACTCTAAGGCATTAATTCTTCTTTCGTCTTCCTTATTCATGGTCTAGCTTTCACATACATATAAGGCAACTGAAAATACCAAGGCTTGGGTTAGATGCACCTTAGTCTTCAGAGAGACATCTTTGCTTTTCAGCACTTTAAAGAGGTCTTTTGCAGATTTGCCCAGTGCAATACGTCATCTGATTTCTTGACTGCTGCTTCAATTGGTGTTGATTATGGAACCAAGTAATAGGAACTCTTTGAAAACTTCAATCTTTTCTCCATTTATCGTGATGCTGCTTATTGCTCCAGTTATGAGGATTTTCATTTTCTTTACATTGAGGTGTAATCCATACTGAAGACTGTAGTCTTCAATCTTCATCAGTAAGTGATTCAAATCATCTTTACTTTCAGCAAGCAAGGTTGCGTTGTCTGCCTATCACAGGCTGTTATTAAGTCTTCCTTCCAATCCTGATGCCACATTCCTCTGCATATATCCCAGCTTCTTGGATTATTTGCTCAGCATACAGATTGAATAAGTATGGTGAAAGGATACAACCCTGATGCACTCCCTTCCTGATTTTAAATCATGCAGTATCCCCTTGTTCTGTTGGAATGACAGCCTCCCTGTCTATTACAGGTTCCTCATGAGCACAATTAAGTGTTCTGGAATTCCCATTCTTCTCAATGTTATCCATAATTTGTTATGATCCACACAGTCAAATGCTTTTGCATAGTCAATACAACACAAGTAAACATCTTTCTGGTATTCTTTGCTTTCAGTCAAGATGCATCTCACATCAGCAATGATACCCTTTGTTCCACATCTTCTTCTGAATCCAGCTGGCATTTCTGGAAGTTCCCTGCTGCTAAAGAGGCAGGGAGGCTGCATCTTCTGACCTCCTCTAACCCCACAAGAGGAGGACAGAATCACCATCAGTAGCCCATCAGTAGTATTCCTGGGAGGCCAGATATGCCGCCTCCTTCCTGTCCTTTCACCAACCCTGACACCAACCATTCTTCCCACAGCACCCACCACCTCTTTGCTGGGTTCGATAATTCACTGCAGTGGCCACACAGAACTCATAGGTTATGGAGTTTATTAGGGAAGCACCAGGCTACAATTCAAGTTCAGAAATACACTCAGTCACTCGCAGCCAGCCGTCTCACTTAGCAGCCGGCAGTCTCAGTAGCACATCGCTCTCTCAGCAGTGCGCGTCTCTCACGTCTCTCAGCAGTGTGTGTCTCTCTCACATCCCTCAGCAGCACGTCCTTCCCAGCCAGCAGTCAGAGAGAGTCCTTCTGCCTCTAGGAGGGCTCCTTTTGAGCCTGGCAGAGTGGCCCAATCCAACCAATTCCAACATCAGAGTTCTACACGCCTGAGAGTGAGTGAACTTCCCAGAAAATTACTTTGTGCTGCTCCCAACAGAAATACCCCAGGTGGATAACTTTAACAATCAGGAGCTACTCAGTTGCTCACAGCAAATTCCACCACAGAGTTTACAAAGACCTATGGCTAGAAAAGCCACGCTATGTAATTTACACCACACCTGCCAATCATTTTTCAATTATCTTCAGCAAGATATTAATGGTACTGTTTGATAATTTCTGTGGGATCACTTTTCTTTGGAATGGGTACAAATATGGATCTCTTCCAGTTGGTTGGTCAGGTAGCTATCTTCCAAATATCTTGGCATAGATGAGTAAGCACCTCCAGCAGGGCATCCATTTGTTGAAACATCTCAATGTGTATTCCATCAATTCCTGGAGCCTTGTTTTTTGCCAATTCTTTCAGTGCAGCTTCAACTTCTTCCTTCGATACCATTGGTTCTTGATCATATGCCACCTCCTAAAATGGATGAAGATCTACCAGTTCTTTTTGGTACAGTGACTGTGTATTCCTTCCATCTTATTTTGATGTTTCCTGCATCGGTCAATATTTTGCCCACAGAATCTTTCAATATTGCAACTCAAGGCTTGAATTTTTTCTTCAGCTCTTTCAGCTTGAGAAATGCCAAGCATGTTCGTTCCTTTTGGTTTTCTAACTCCAGATCTTTGCACATTTCATTTTAATTACTGACTTTGTCTTCTTGAGCTGGTCTTTGAAATCCTCTGTTCAGCTCTTTTATCTTGTCATTTCTTCCATTTGCTTTAGGTATTCTCTGTTCAAGGGCAAGGTTCAGAGTCTCTTCTGACATCCATTGTAGTCTTTTCTTCCTTTTCTGTCTTTTTAATGACCTTCTGCTTTCTTTATGTATGATGTTCTTGATGTCATCTCACAGTTTATTTGGTGTTTGGTCACTGGTGTTCAATGTGTCAAATCTGTTCTTCAGATGGTCTCTAAATTCAGGTGAGATATAATCAAGATCATATTTTGGCTCTCATGGACTTGGTCTAATTGTCTTCAGCTTCAATTTGAACTTGCATATGAGCAGTTGATAGTTTGTTCCACAGTCAGCTCCTGGCCTTGTTTTTACTGAAGGTACTGAGCTTCTCCATCGCCTCTTTCCGTAGATGTAGTCAATCAGATTCCTGTGTGTTCTGGTGGGTGAGGTCCACATGTGTAGCTGCCATTTATGTTGTTGAAATAAGGTACTGTCAATGAGTAAGTCATTGATCTTGCAAAATTCCATCATGCTAGCTCCAGCATTATTTCTATCACCAAGGTCATATTTTCCAACTGTAGGTGATTCTTCTTTGTTCCCAACTTTTGCATTCCAATCACCACTGATAATCAACACATCTTGATTGCATGTTTGGTCAATTTCAGAACGCAGAAGTTGGTAAAAATTTTCAGTTTCCTCATCTTTGTGTAATTTTTTTTCACAAATGTTGATCACCAGCCTTCCTAAACATAAGTGCCCTGCCCATGTTTCTACTAGCAATGTTCCAGAACACCCCCCCCCCCTCGAATCCCTCCCAGCTAGGGTGAGCAGAGGGTCTGTAAACAGACCTCTCCTAGGTCCTGGGGTCTTGACCTTCCTGCTACTGGTGAGCTTGGCTGACTGGCTGTGCTCCAAGCTTTTTTCTCGCCTGGGCCTGTGGCCACACTGTTCATGTTCCCACATGTCCACTGACTTCCTTTACTGGGCTTTAGCCATCCAACTGTCTTCTCTTAATCCCAGCCTTGGTTAAGGTCTCCTGTTCTGAGACTGTCCACACTGCCTCCTAATTTTTCTTCTTTTCTTTCTATTTAAGATGCCAATTCATCTGAAATTTATTTCTCTATGATATAACATGGGGTCCAATTTAATTTTCTTCCAGAAAGATGGCAGCCTGCTTTGACTCACTTGTTAACACTCCATTGTCCTCTCAGTGAATATGCCCCCCACATCTGTCACATTTTAATCCTTCTCTGACTGGGAATTCTTCCAGAGTCTGTCTTCTGCTCACTTATCCACTCCTACGCCAACACTGTGTTCATCTGAACTGCATTTCTAACAGTGGTAAGCAACACCCACTTACTGTATTCCCTCCCCCACCCCCACCCTGAGTATTTTTTGGCTCTACCCTCAGGTGGCACAGAGTTCAGGCACTCAAGTGCTAACCAAAAGGTCAGTGATTCGAACCCACCAGCTTCTCAATGGGAGAAAGATATGGCAATCTGCTTCCATAAAATCAAAGCCTTGAAAACTCTATAGGGCAGTTCTACACTGCCCTACAGGATTGCTATGAGTTGGAATCAACTCAGTAGCAGTGGGTTTTGGTTATAAACTTTAAGATAGTTTTATCCAGCTAGAAAACACAACCCTGTAGGGATTATACTGGAATTACAGTAAATAAATACAATAGATTTGGGAGAATTGCCCTCTTATTATATTAATTCTTCTCATTCAAAAACATGACATACCTTTGAATACGTCCAGGTCTTATTTCATATTCTTGGGTAAGAGTTAGTAATTTTTAGAATCCAGGTATTGTGCCCTGCTGGTTATGTTTACACTCATTTTGTAACTTGTGTCTTTATTGTGAGTGGTGTATTCCCCCATCTCTAGTTTCTTGTGGATAAAATAGAAAAAATGATCCCTGTCTTTTCCACCTTTTCCCATTTTCTCAGGTTTTCCTGGGATCATGTATTAAAGTTTTTTCCAATGGCTCTTCAGAATCTGCTCTGATGATATAGTTTCCGGTCCACTGTGCTGACACGGGTCCCTGGGTGCCATGGATCATGTCCCCAAAAGAGAAATGTGGAAATTCTAACTCCTACACCTATAAACACGACCATCTGGAGAGAGGGGTTTTTATCTGATATGTTCGTGACGGCACTTGGACCGGGATGGGCCCTAAGCCTCATCACTTCTGAGCGTGTCTGATAGAAAAAGTAGAAAAGACACAGGTACACACTTGAGGAGAGACCACGTGAGCACCCGTCTACAAGCAGAGGAAGATACCGGAACCTGGGAGAGGCCCACAGAAGAAATCAACACCGCTGAATTTGGATTTGGACTTTCAGACTTCAGAATTGCGACAAAATAAATGTGTGTTCTTTAAAGTCATCTGCTTATGGTGTCTGCATTGCAGCAGTGATAGGAGACCAAGCCACCCTGTCCCACAGCACCCTTGCACATCTACAATCAGCCTGACTCAGAGCATGCTATTCTTTTGACACGCTGATGCATTTCCTTTGCCAGTATCTTCTGCAGTTCGTTTGTTTTCACGTAGCGATGTTTTAAACAATATCAGTTTTCGTTTCTAGGTCTTTTCATTTAGTTATCTTGTTTGGCTATTCGAACGAATTGGGGGACTGTCCGTCATTGCAGCCTAAGAATGTTAACTGTGGAGATTTGACTGATTGACTCAAAAGGCTGCGTGCGACTCAGCTGTCGCGCCATCAGAACTAAGCGCCTTTTCCCATCTTTAATCACCTTTCCAAGTTCTGATCATGGCTTACATTTCCTACCTTTCCTTGGGCCAATTCAGATAACCGGTTGTCTCCCTAAGGTTTGCACACTGACTGGCAGACAGTGGCCACAGGACTCCCTCGTTCCTTCTTCTGTGTCCTCGCCATTTCTCATTATGGTCTCGTCTATTTTGCCTAAGGTCTCCCCACTGCCATTTCAGGGGAGGGGTTGGCTCAGAGGGCCTCAGGCCCCGAGCGTGGCTGCCCCACAAGAGGTGGGAGGCCAGTGCGCCCCACCCCAGGTGAGACACCAGGAGAGCACTGTCCCACAGCACCTCCTGAGATGACAGGAATGTCGTGCAGCTGTGCTGACCACACAGCGACCCCTGGCCGGGCAGCTACCGAGCACCTGAAACGTGGCTCCTACAGCTGAGGGCCCGCCCTCGGGATTTGTTTACCGTCGTGGGGATTTAAACGGCCACACGTGGCTGGTGGCCTCCTCAGCGGGCAGCGCAGGTGCTCCCCTGCTCCCTGGCACCTTGGCAGCTCAGCCCAGTCCCACAGGCCGCCCTGACATCCCATCTCCCGCTCAGGGCCCAGGCAGCTTTGGCCACTGTCTCCCCCAAATCCCTCGCTCTCGGGGCTCCCCACTGCTGGTCTCACCCAGGAACCCCAGAGTCCAAGGCCTTACGTGCCTTGTGCCCTGAGCCTCTGTAGCTAGCTGCTCGAGAGCCAGACTGACACTGGACTGGAAAATGGGGAAACAGAGGCAGCTGGAGGTCCCCATGTTCCCAGAATCTCTCAGCCTTGCCCACCAACTGACTGGCCCCTCTCTCTCACCTTGCAGATCGCTGTCGGGGCTCGGAGGAAAGTCTCCGAGCTCGCACACACTGGGGAGATGCCCGAGCCCGTGGCAGGGTCCGTGGTGTCATTAGCGGGAGCCCAGAGAGGCGGTGGCTGGCAGGGGTGGGCATGGCCAGCGCACGTTTTGTGCTCACGGGGGTCCTCATGCTGGGGAGAAGGCTTTGAGAGGCAGGCCCAGATGAACGCCTGACAGGAGTGCTATGGACCACCCTGGAGAAGATGAGGACAGACAGAGACGTCAGCAAGGTGATCTCAGCAAGATCTCCCGACTCAACCAAAGTGCTCCCGCAGCAGGACGTGCTGCAGCTTAACAGAGAGGTGCCAGCCGGGAGCCTGGGGGTCTCCAGCACGGGCAGGTCTCCCCAGAAACCTGGCTGTGTGTCAGGCTTCTGACGGGCAATGCCTTCTCCCTCGGTCCTCACTGGGGACCGACCATCAGATCAAATCTGACTGTGCTCTAAGGAAGTCTTCATAGGCGATTTATATTACTGTAAACGTTCCCATCAGGAGTCCGGGCCCACGGTGGTATCTGGTGGGGCCCACGGACACGTTGGCAGATTTCCATTGCCCAGTTGCAGGCTGCCTACACCAGGTATGAGCACAAGTGAGTTTAGTAGGGACACTGGCTCCTGTCCCCCACGCATCTCTCCTCACATCCCTGGCAGTGCCCATGGCTTCGACACCAACGTACCCTCCTAACCCGATTCGTGCTGTTGTGGAGAGAGGAGGGAGGCTGAGCAAAGCCGACTGCTTGCTTACAACAAACGAGTCGTGAGCATACTGCCCACCCAGACCCCAAGGGAGGGCCGGGGACAGCACAGCTCTTGGCCCGTCAGCCATCAAGGGCAGTCTATGTCCTGCAGAGTCTGAATGGTGGAGCACAGGGCACTTTCAGGGCAGCGAGCGGACCCGGGATGATACTGCCACGGTGGACACGGGCCACTGTGCGTTTATCAAAGCCCTCAGGACTGCATGGCACAGAGTGACCCCCATGTGAACTGCCATCTTGAGTTAGCATGTTGCTGTTGGCTCACCCAGTGTCATAAACGTCACACAGGAACACAGGAGGTTACACTGGGAGACTCTAGTGGGAAGGGAGTATCTGAGAACTCTCTAGACTTCCTGCTCCATTTTTTCATAAGCTAAAATTGCTCTAAAAAATGAAATCCAACAGTTAATTAAGCCTGAAAACAAACGGATAACTAACCCTAACCGAAAAGGAAGGGTGCCATAAAATTGCTGAAGCGCTCAATAAAGCCCTGCAGGTGCGAGCAATGGCCAAGTGGCCAAGGGTTACGGGCCGCCAACAATGAGCAGCTGCAAGCACAGGGCAGAGCACTCGCACTGCTCTAGTGGACAGCGGACAATGGAGGGCCGACATGGGAATGAAACATGAACAACACTACACCCGGAAGCAAGTTAAAGAGTTACTTAATATCATTAATAAGCCCAAACAAAACAAAAGGTTGCCAGGCAACCCTGGATGACAGGCCCAAGATCCCAGAGCCAAGGGACCATAATTTGGGTAACCTTTTCGTTTCTACTCATCATTTTAGTTCCTTAGTTCTTCAGCCAATCACAATATGTAGGTAATTTACTCACAGGCATGTCCTTCGAGGGTGGGAAGGGCAGGCTGAGAGACCCTGACCCACGATCAGTCAGCTCTGGTCAGTACAGAGCCCCCATCACTGCACTTCGTCTGTTTACAGCGCTGTGCTTGCAGACAAGCTCCCACAAGCCACGTTCCCTTTCTGGTATGTCTTCCTGCCGTGGAAGGCTTAGGTGGAAATGTACAATCACCACACCTAAGCCAGCCCGTGCTGTCCCCGGCGCCCTGGATCTCTGCCTGGCTTCCTGGCAGCCCCACCACAAGCTCCACTGACAGTCCTCAGAGTCACCCAGGAGGCAGGGGCGACGTCCTCCTTCGCACAGGAAACCGAGGCACAGGGAGGTAAAGTGGGCCAGGAGGCGGCTGGCCCGCTCCACTCTCCCTCTTCGCCATGGCCAAGGTCCCACGTGCTCAGACTGGAGGTGAGGCATCACACATCTGAGAAGGCAGTGAGGTCAGTGGCAATGTCAGCCCATCCTTAGCAGCATAGTAAAAAGGATACAGAGTCCCCCTTCAGTTACCTTCCAGCTGACGTGCATGACTGTGGCCTCTGTGCCCGAGAGCACCGGGGGGCTGCGCTGACTGGGGACTCCCCTGCAACAGAGAGGGTGAGGGGTACAGTCAGTCATGGTGGCAAGTGGGAAAACCCATCCCGGGGTCTTCACCAAACGGACAGGTCTCCTGTAAAGGCCTCATCTTCCCAACTTCTGCACAGATGGTCCGGGAGGCACCCACAGGCCAGACGAGTCACAGGGTCAACCTGCCACATGCAGGAGGCACGAGAGGGTGCATGGTCCTCCCTCTGCGGCCCTAAGGGGTCCACCAAGACCAGGCCTTTATAATTAACTGAAGGCTGCAGAAGAGAACAGTTCAATGGGACCCTCGGCTGACATGACCCTGAGACTAGAAGAAATAGATGGTGCCCGGCTACCACTGTCAACCACTCAGAAAGGGATCAGTGCAGGAGATCCTGGAGAGAGTGGGAGAGCAACGTGGAAGAAAACTCAAAACCATAAAAAAGACCAGGCTCACTGGTCTGACAGAAACTGGTGAAACCCCTGAGACTATGGCCCCGAGGCACCCTTCAGGCCTAGAATTGAACTCACTCCTGTGGCTTCCAGCCAAACAGGTGTATGAGGTGAACATTTGCACCAGGTGGGCACACTCCTTACAGCAGTCAAGCACGAGAGATCAGAAGGGCAGTATTTGCACCAGGAGACAGCTCAGGGCAGGAATGCCCAGGAAAGACACAGGGAAAGACAAACACAGGGAGGAAGTGGGAAGAGAGCTGTTGCACTGTGGGATTGAGTCAGTGTCATGAAATAAAATGTGCACAAACTGCTGTACGGAAAAGGAATTTGCTCTGTAAACTTTCACCCAAATCACAATTTTAAAAAAAGAGAGAAGGAAAAAAAAAAATCACTGTCACTCACAATCCAGATTTTAAAAAGAAACCTAACTTACACTAAAGAAAAAACAAAAAGAAGAAACGAGGCCCTTCGGCACCTGGCCCTCCCCCGGCCCCTTCCACCCCACGGGACAGGACGACGTGGGCAGGGCAGGCAGGCTTGGGGGGTGAGTGAGTGAGGCCTACCTGTGGGGCGGCTCCCAGGAACTCGCTGGGCACGGGCACACAGAGACTGCGCCGTGAGGTGCTCAGGCCCCCAGGCCAGCCCAGCACAGCCACACACACTGCCACATCCCTGAACCACGGCACTCCCAGGGTAAGAACACACTACGGGCTGATGTGCATTTCACGGCCGGCCGAGCACTCGCCCGTGTATGACCACCCCAGGCTTCACAAGGTGATGGGACAGGCTCAGAGGGCCCGCAGTCCCCCGGACCCGAGCACGGCTCGACGAGGACCCAGACCGCTGTCCGTCCACTTGACCAGGCAGCTCCAGGAGCTCAGCAGGGGGGCCGCTGAGAGGGCAGCCACAGCCCCAGGAAAGCCCTCACCCCCAGAAGCTGTCAGGGACTCATCGAGTCCCCGCCAAATACGGGTGGGAGTCCTGACCCAGTACCTGGGACGTGATCCCGCCTGGGGAAAGGGTTTGCTTCCCTCTGTGATGTTAATGAGGCCCGACCAGCGCTGGTGGCCTCATCACTCTGACTCGGGGGGCAGCACAGACACAGGGACAAGCAGGCATCAGCCCGGAGGAGACAGATGCCACGTGGAGGTCGCCATGGCCCAGCGCTGCGGCTACAGAGTTGACACAGTGGCCTGAACTTGGACTTCCCACCTCCTGGACTGTGCGACAATGATCTCTGTTCCTCAACACTGGGCACTTGTGGCGCTGCTGCTGCGGCAGCGCTAGGACCGTGGATGACACCAGGGACACCAAACTCTGGTAGCACAGTGCCTAAGACATCCGACTGCTAACCAGAAGGTCAGCGGTTCAAACCCACCAGCCACTCCGTGGAAGCAAGGCTGGGCAATCTAATTCTGTAAAGATTTGCTGCCTCAAAACCCAGTGGGGGTTGCTATGAGTCAGAACCCATTCAGTGGCAGGGGGTTTGGTTGTTTTCAGTTTTGGAAGGACACTGAGGCTACTCCCCAACCGCTCTCCTCCAGTCCTCCCACTCGGTGAACACCCGCCCCAGGGGTCAAGCCAGAACCCTCGGGGTCACGTGATGCCCCTCCCTGTGCCCGCACTGCCTCTCGCTCTGCCAGAGTGGCACGCAGGCTGGAGTATTCCCACCACCTCACAGCACCACCCCAGTGCTGGTCCAGGAGGCTCCCCGGTGGCTTCGCCAAGGGCCACCTCCTGGGTCAGATCCGCTCACCGGCCCGTCCTGGGAGGGTCCTTCACGGGCGATCGTCCCTGATGGGCCGCTCTGTCTAAATTCCTCCCCATGCACGCCCATCAACATGACGCCATCTTTGTGACACTTATTTGATAACGTTTCTTATCTTTTACCATTAAGATGTAAATTCTAGGAGAACATCCTTACATCCCTTGTACGTAAAAGAGTGACAAGTACATAAGAAGACATTCAATCCAACGGCTCATTCCTAAAAGGTAGTCACGCACAACAAGGATGTGAGGAGCTGAGGAACACTCGGATTGGCCAGAAATGACAAAAACCTCAGAGCCTCCCGCCACCTAGAGAACCTGTGCCCCGAACGGAGAAGACCATGACGGTCGTCACTGTAAAGGCACACCTTTCTACCTCACACAACTTTGTGAGACTAGCTCACTCAACGTCTGTGGAACACCACCTACCACCTGCTAGACGCCATGCGGGAGCAGACAGGGAGAGCCCAAGCAGAGTATGGCAATCTCATGGACTTGATCGGAGTCAGCAGGATTAGCCGGCATTTGCGGGGCCACCTACCAGAAACTTCAGTGGGACCCCTCAAGTCCTGGGCTGAGTACTAAGCAGCACACATGTGGGGTAAGACTCCGTAAAGGTGAGTCAAGCACAACCACTGGGAACGACTATCTGAACTCACACGGGCTGGAAACACTTGCCTTCCAGCCAGCCAGAGCTGAGAAGCCTTGCTGAAGACACAGGTACCCAGTTAGGGCTGCAGAAAGACCACCCTCAGCAGTAGGACCACAGTAGCCGGGAGGGAAGGCTGTGCTCGAGCTGCCTGAACGCTTCAACGGAGTCTCAAAAGGATCAAACTATTTGAAACTTTACTTCCTGACAAAGCAAAACTCATCTTTAAGGAAAACAACAAAATCCAGACATTCAAAAATGTAAAATTCACAATGTCCAGCAACAACCAAAAATTATTAAACATGCAAAGAAGCAAGGAAATGTGACCACAAGCAGGAAAAGGAAATGATGTCAACCGACTCAAAAATGACCAAACCAAACTCACTGCCATTGAGTGGATTCTGACTCACAGCAACGCCCACTGGGTTTCTGAGGTGGTAACAGGAGAAAGACAGAGAAACTACGTCAGAAGTTAGAAATTAACTGGATGGACTTAACTGCAGATGGGGTGCACATGAGCAGAAGGCATGATAACAGCAGCCATCCAAAGTGAAACACAAGAAAAAAGGCTGGGGGAGAAACAGGGCCTTGATGGCCCGTGGGACAACACTAAGAGGCTGTCCTGGTTCCCTAGTGCCACTCTGACAGGAAGGTAACAAAAGGGATGCTTGAACAAGCAGGAGTTTATTCTCCTACAATTTGAGGCCAGAAGTCCAAGTTCCAAGTGCCGGGCTCTGGGGGCCGGGTGAAAGCCCCTCAACCTTGGGCTTCAGCTCTGCCTCCTGCTCCCAGCCCACTGAAATTGGAGGCTTTTCTTCACTCAGACAGCTGCTGGCAGCTGAGGCCGACAAGCCCAAGGTTGACAAGTAAAAAGGCATGGTCCTGACATTACCAAACCACACAGCAGGCCATTGATTCAAGTCCATTGAAAGTCCCAACATCAGCAGGGCAACGTGGCAGGCTGCTGACCAACGACTTGGCTACATGCAGGGCTCAAGTGTACCACAAGCTGGAGCCCTCCCTCACAGCTGCTCCTTATACACGGGAAGCAGGCCACTTCCCTAAAACAGCTACTCAGCTGCTCCAGTAGACTCCACCAGGGAACCGATGGCCAATCTCACCATGGGAAATAGCTGCATCCAGCTGGCCAGCCACTCAAAACCTGGCCCAGCCAAGTTGACACACAACCTTAACTACCACACAGGCCTAACATACATTAATTAAGGGGCCCTGGTAGCACTGGAGGAGCTCTAGGGGTGTAGTGCCTAAGGCACTTGACTGCTAACTAGAAGGCTGGTGGTTCAAACCCACCAGCCACTCCTCAGAAGGAAGATGGGGCAATCTATTTTCGTAGTGATACTGCCTCAGATACCCAAGGAGGGGTCACTATGAGTTGGATTCGACCCGACGGCAGTGAGTTTGGTTTGCTTTGGTAGCACAGTAAGGAGTGCTGATGGTGTAGTGCCTAAGAGATTTGACTGCTAACCAGAAGGCTGGCGGTTCAAACCTACCAGCCATTCTGCAGAAGGAAGACTGGGTAATCTACTTCCATAAAGATTTACTGCCTTGGAAGCCCAATGGGGGTTGCTATGAGTTGGAATGAACTCAATACCAGTGAGCCTGGTTTTTTGATTTGGTAGCACAGTGGTTAAGCCCTTGGTTGCTAACCAAAAGGTTGGTGGTTCAAACCTACCAGCTGCTCTACAGGAGAAACATGAGGCAGCCAGCTTCCACAAAGACTGACAGTCTTGGAAACCCCATGGTGCAGTTCCACTCTGTCCTCTAGGGGCGCTGTGGGTCAGAATGGACTCCACGGTAGTGGGTGTGGTTTGGGCTTTGCTTCTGTGAAGACTGACAGCCTTGGAGACCCTGTGGGCAGTTCCACTCTGTCCTCTAGGGGCGCTGTGGGTCAGAATGGACTCCACGGCAGTGGGTGTGGTTTGGGCTTTGCTTCTGTGAAGACTGACAGCCTTGGAGACCCTGTGGGCAGTTCCACTCTGTCCTCTAGGGGCGCTGTGGGTCAGAATGGACTCCACGGCAGTGGGTGTGGTTTGGGCTTTGCTTCCATGTGATTGACAGCCTTGGAGACCCTGTGGGGCAGTTCCACTCTCTGCTACAGACTCTAATTAATTCATTAAGTAGAGATCCAGGAAATAAAGGGAAAGCAAGAAAACGTGAAGAAGTATGGCTGAAACTTTTCAGCTTTGGTTAAAAATGTCAACCCACAGATCAAAAAGCTTAAGAAATCCCAAGCAGAATAAAACAAAGACAGACACATCAAACTGCTGAAATAATCAGTTTGCTGAAAACAGCAATAAAGAGAAAACCTTAAAAGCAGCCAAAGAACAAGGACCTATAACACACAGGGGCTGGTCAGAAGGCAAGAACCCCACTGACTTCTCATCTGCACAATGTATGCTGTCCTCTGGGAGACAGCGCATGATGCTGTGAATGGACTGAGGAAAAAGAAACAAAGGACCTGTCATCACCGAAACAAGCAGTTTGTTAAAACTTTAAGAAGACTGTCTTCAAGATGTTTAAAACAGACTAAAATCCATCTACTACTTACCAACAGAAAACTTGGGAATTTTACCCTGACTTGTGGGGGTCGGCATCACCTTTGTCTTGGAATCTAGATAGGAAGCCTGCTTTCTTGTACTCCCAGCTGTAGTCACTTGAGAAGATGCCGGCAAACTGAACGTAGAGTCCAGCCTTGGGCCTGCATCGTCCGGAGTCTGTGGTAGTGTCAGGGAAGCCGCGCTGGGCCCCTTGGGTGGTTCCACCGTGATCTCAGCACCATCAGCCGACTTGGTCTGCCAGCAGGAGGCGTCTGCAGGGCCTGACGGCTGAGGCTGCTGCTGGCCGGCCGGTCGGAGTCTGCTCAGATTCCTGGTGCTGGCCGGGGCCCGGGGACCATGTGCAGGAATACTTCCCAGTTCACCAGATTGAGCTGCACGAGCAAAGGCACAAAATCTAGTGATCGCTCAAGTTCATGTTATTTGTAAGTTAGGATGCTGTTTAACAAACACAAGATACACTATCTTCCCCATGTCTACCGTGAAACATCTTTAGATGAAGAAAATCATGTTTCTCCCATGATGACATCCAAACGAGAGATGCCGCATATGACCAAGAGCCCACATGCCTGTCACACAACCTCCCCAAACACTCGTCTGTCCCTGCGTCACCCTGCAGTGGCTGTGAGGCTGGAGGCTGTGCCACTGGTGCTCCAAACACCAGCAGGGCCACCCATGGTGGACACGTTTCAGCGGAGACTCGGAAGAAGGAAGGGGCCATCCACTTCACAGAGAACTGACCAGTGAAAACCTTACGGACAGCAGTGAAACACTGTCTGGTACATTACTGGAAAGCATCAAACCCAGGACAGCCCGTATTGCTGGTGGCTAAGCTCAGCAGCTCCTAAGGTACTAATTCTATCACAATGGCCAAGATGGATACACGCATCTAGAAACTCAAGCTCTGTCTGGACACAGATTACGTTGCCAGCAGAGATCGGCCCTAGTTAGGCAGATGGAAGCCGACAGTCTGGTCACCAAGTCCCTCACCCACCACCCACCCCATCTAGACAGGGGGTGGGGAGGGAGCAGGAAGTGCACCATCATAACCGGTCAGCTCCTTCAAAGTACCGGAAGGAAGCTGGGTGTGCTAACAATGAACACTGTAGAACAGAACAGCAGCAAACTGACCTGCACTGCACAATCTCGCCCAAACGACAAAGGACAGCAGGTCAGCTGGGATGGAAACACTCAGCACCTACGTGACGGGAGGCCCTGGGTGGAGCAGATGACCAAGGGCTGAGCTGTCAACTGAGAGGCTGGGGTTCCCCCGACTCAGAGGCACCTCAGAGGGAAGGCCTAGCAATCTCCTTCCAAAAGTGCAGCCGTGACAACCCTGTGGGGCCCAGTTCTGCTCCGAAACACGTGGGGGCACCACAGGCAGCAGCGTCCCAATGACAGCCGGTCCACCAGCAGGCGGCTGACGACGTACACGCTCACTCGGTAAGAGATCCTGAAGAAAAGCGTTCAGAGAATGACCGACACCACTGTGTATGTTTATAGGCGTCGGGCCGTTTTACGATGTCTGCCCCACACGTCACCTGATCCTACGGATCCAGTGGCTGCCACAACAGGCTCAAACAGGACAGCGACTGAAGACGGTGCAGCCCAGGCAGCGCTCTGTTGGTTATACACAGGCTGCTCTGAGTCAGAACCAAACTGACACCACCGCACAACAGCAGTGGTTTTGCCGCGTACAGTACAGAAGTGGACACACTCTGGGAGTCCCACTCGGTCTCACGCTACCTTAACCAGAGGTGGGGCTGCAGAAACAGAGCATGCAAGGGGGTGGGTGCACTAGGTTGGCCTGGCCCACTGCCCCCCGACATCCACTGTAACAGAGAGCGCCACCATTTGCTCAACGTGCGTCAGGCACTGGAGCTGGGCCAGGCCTACTGGACACCCAGGCTTCTGCTCCCCCAACACCGCCAGCCAGGCACTGGCACCCCATCCGTAAACAAGGAAACAAAGTTTGGTTCAGAAGCTGAGGGGCAGGGGTAGGGGCAGGGGCAGGACCCCAGACCCCAGCAGGCCGAGTCCAGACGGCACACTGCTCGCGTCTGCGAGCACAACGCACACGTGCTGTGTGAACTGTGGTCAGAGCCTGGTCAGAGCCCGCCAACAACCAGTGTGAACAGGATTCAACGCGACGTGGTGGCTTTCCTTGTCGCCTACCACGGCTCCTCTCCCTGACCAGCAGATGGCAGCCTTGGCTCGCTCGGGGAGATTAAAATGGCGGCTGCAGTAAACTGGGTGTGGGAGGGGGATTTCAGTAAGTGTCCTGGAGTTCCAGGGCCATAAACTCAATAATCTGGAACCGTCCTAGTTTGAAAGTTGGTGCCTGCCTACCCTTGTGCGGAGGCTGGTCTGAGGGTCTCGTCTCAGGCACTTGGCACACACGTACATCCCATCGTCACTGTGTGCAATACTGGGAACAGAGACCACCTGCGGCAGTGTGCCAGGATGGGGGGCCCTGACCCAGCGGGAGCGTGCCGGGACAGGGGACCCTGACACAGCAGGAGTGTCCCTGGACGGGGTCCTGACACAGAAGGGGTGTCCCAGGACAGGGACCCTGACACAGAGGGGGTGTCCCAGGACGGGAACCCTGACACAGCGGGAGCGTCCCGGGACAGTGTCCTCCTGGCCCAGCCTCCAGTCTGGTCCGGAGAGCCTGTGTGGTTCTTTCTGTAAGAGCAGCTGATTTGGGCCCCACCTGGAGGGAGGCCTGGGCCTGAGCCTGCAGTGTGACAGTCTCACCTTGGCCTCCTGCTGAAGCATCAGCTACGCTGGAAGTTGCCCCCAAAATAGGCCCCGAGGAAGAGGCCTTTTTTGCAAGACAGCCAGTGCGGCCAGGTGGCTTCAATAGGGTCCTCTTCAGCCCCAACTGAAACAAAATGTGAAAAAGCATAATCATCAAAGATGCCATCACCTATTACTCATTTCCGGGAAAGGACGGGTTTTAATCATTTCAAATCACATCACTATGAATTTAAGGAACTCGAGAAGTTTATCTTCAAAACCCTGCCTCACAAACAGCTGGGGCTCTTACACGGCAGATCCACTGGGCCCATCACTGCAGGGCCCAGCAATTTTAACAAGCCTGCCAGTGACTCTCAGGGCGCTACACCTGACCACTAATGCAGGGAAATACAGCAAACTGGGGATGGCCTCCTCGCAGCAACGCAGGGCTGGCTTCAGGAAAGCATGTGGCCCCCGTCTAAGGCAGGCAGGCCCCTGGAGGGAAGCGGAGTGGCCCACTGCTGCAGACAACGACCCAATGCTCAGGACCCATTCCTAAGCCCACCCACTCCTCAGAGACAGCCTAGCCTCCAGCTGCCGACTTCTCCCCATGCCAACTCACCTTGGCGGGCCCAGGCAGCGTTCTCTTGCCTGGTACCAAGTGGCTCCTGCCAGCCGGCATGGTGCCAGCATCCAGGGCCGCTGCAGGCTCCTCCGGGCGGGACCCATTATTCTGGAGCTTCATCCGGGAAGGACTAGCCGGCCTCTCTCTCTTGGGCTGAAATTGTGAATTCAGAATGTGAGGACAATGCCCACTGATACCACGGCTTCCACTGGGACCAACACCAGGCCCAGCTGTCGCCCCAGACGCTACACAGGTGCTCAATCACCAACTGGGGGAACAGAGCAGCTCACTTTCTCCACTGAATTATGACAGAGAAAAATGATGACGGATTTGCTTCCTCATTAGGAACAAAGTAAGATGACATTGAGACAGGTCATCCCAGGAGAGAGCCACCATGACAGGTCATCCCTGGAGCCACCAAGACAGGTCATCACAGGAGAGAACCACCACGACAGGTCGTCACAGGGGAGAGTCACCAAGACAGGTCATCACAGGACAGAACCACCATGACAGGTCATCACAGGAGAGAGCCACCAAGACAGGTCATCCCAGGACAGAACCACCAGGACAGGTCGTCACAGGAGACAGACACCAGGACAGGTTGTCACAGGAGAGAACCACCAAGACAGGTCGTCACAGGAGACAGCCACCAGGACAGGTCGTGCCAGCAGAGAGCCCCTCTACAGCTGCTCCTCAGTGGGGCTGCTTGAGGAGGCTGTGAGGACTGCAGCAGTTCAGAGACTTTAAGGAACCCTCGAGCAACGCTCACTCCCTCCCCCAGAGCTGGTGCTTGGTCACCATCAGTCTTCGATGTCTCATGCTGGGAACCGTTTCTCATTGGCCAGAGGAGCCAAACAAAGAATTACTTGCTGCCATTCGAGCATGCTTGTTCATTGCAAACACCTTTTTTCAACAACACAAACGGAGGCTGTACACATGGACTTCACCAGATGGAACACACAGGAATTATAGACTACATCTGTGGCAAGAGGTGGTGGAAAAGCTCAATATCTTTAGCCAAAGCCAGGCCAGGAGCTGATTATGGAACAGACCATCAACTGCTCATATGCAAATTCAACTTGAAGTTAAAGACAATTAAAACAAGTCCAAGAGAGCCAAAATATGATCTTGAATATATC